ACAGTGCAATGTGAAGCAAAGTGCGAAAATTGGTACTTGGTTCGACAAAAGTCATCTTGACGTGGGTACAACATGCAAAATTGTTGCATGTTTTTTAATGTTAAGACACCCACGTCAAGATGACACGCAAGATGAGACTGGCATATCGTTGACCACGATTGTTGACTGGTTCAATTTTTGCAGAGAGGTAATTATATATTAATTATATATGTATTTAATAAATATATAATGTGAAATATTAATATTATTTCTTTTTCCAGGTCTGTGTGTTCTGGGCTGACAAACATAGTGAAAAATTAGGTGGCCCAGGACACATAGTTGAGATCGGTGAAACAAAAATTGGCCGAAGAAAATACAATTGTGGTCGATTAATAAAAGGAAACTGGATTTTTGGAGGATACGAGCGAGGATCAAAGAAGATTTTTATAGTTCCAGTTCAGGATCGAACAGAGAAAACATTACTGGCATGTATAAAGGAATGGATTTTGCCAGGAACTACAATCATGTCAGATTGTTGGAAGTCATATGATCATTTAAACAATCAAGGCTTCCAACATCTGACAGTAAATCACTCCTATAACTTCGTTGATCCTGACACTGGTAAGAATTACAAATTATATATTATAGAATAAATTTTACTGTACAAAGTCTTTTTATTAATTTTGGTTATAGTTTATATCACTCTTCTTTTATATTGTTCTAATCAATATTTTTAATTTACAGGAGCTCATACGCAGCATATAGAGCGTGTTTGGAGAGAAGTTCAGCTCTGTGAAGCTGGCACCCCCAAATTCGAATTTTCATAAACCACAAGTAGCATTCGTTTGTCCACGATTTGTCCACATTTGTCCAACACAAATTTTCATTTGTCCACCTCTCAAAAAAAAGTTATGAGCAAATAAAAATTTTGACACCAGCACCGCCATGAAAATATTTCTTCAATTTCAAAACACCATTGGATTGTCCACGTTTGTCCAACAAAAATTTTCATTCGTCCATCTTCCAAAAAAGAGTTATAAGCAAAAGAAATTTCGATATCAGCACCCCCATGAAAAAATTTCTTCAATTTCAAAACATCGCTGGATTGTCCACGATGTGCCCACGTTTGTCCAACCAAAATTTTTGTTTGTTCCCCTTTAAAAGAAGTTATAAGCAAATTAAAAAATTGAAAGTATACGGAAGAGGAGGCGCCTTATATATGAATATATATATAAAAATTAGCAGGGATTCGTTTGTCCACGATTTGCCCATATTAATCCAATTAAAATCTCCATTTGCCCACCTTGTAAAATATAGTTAAATAAAGAAAATAAGAAAAAGCAATTTGCTTACAAGAACACTTTTCTGAAAATTAAGCACTGCAATCATTTGTCCACCCGTTGTTTTCGTTTGTCCATGTATTATTTTCGTTTGTCCACCCAAAGGAATCGAGTAATTAACAAAAAGAAATTAAAAAACTTGACTATAACCGTTCTATGTACATGTGTCAAGTTTTCTGTACATTGAGGGTTGGAATCGTTTGTTCACCCGCTGCTTTCGTTTCTCCATGCATTATTTTCGTTTGTCCACCTAAGGGAATCGAGTAATTAACAAAAAGTTGCAATACATGACGACAACCGCTCTATATAATGTGATAAAGTTTTTTGTAGATCGAGGGTTGGAATCGTTTGTCCACCCGCTGCTTTCGTTTGTCCATGCATTATTTTCGTTTGTCCACCCAAGAGAATCGAGTAATTAACAAAAAAAAAGTTGAAATACTTGACTATAACCGTTCTATGCACATGTGTCAAAGTTTTCTGTAGATTGAGGGTTAGAATCGTTTATCCACCCGTTGCTTTCGTTTGTCCATGCATTATTTTCGATTGTTCACCTAAGAGAATCGAGTAATTATCAAAAAAAAGTTGAAATACATGACGGCAACCGCTCTATGTAATGTGATAAAGTTTTCTGTAGATTGAGGGTTGGAATCGTTTGTCCACCCGCTGCTTTCATTTGTCCACCCAAAAGAATCGAGTAATTAACAAAAATTAATTTAAAAACTTGACTATAACCGTTCTGTGTACATGTGTCAAGTTTTTTGTAGATTGAGGAATCGTTTGTCCACCCGCTGCTTTCGTTTGTCCATGCATTATTTTCGTTTGTCCACCCAAGGGAATCGAGTAATTAACAAATAAAAGTTGAAATACATGACGACAACCGCTCTACGTAATGTGCTAAAGTTTTCTGTAGATTCGGGGTTGGAATCGTTTGTCCACCCGCTGCTTTCGTTTGTCCGTGCATTATTGTCGTTTGTCCACCCAAGGGAATCGAGTAATTATAAAAAAAAATAAAAAAACTTGACTATAACCGTTCTGTGTACATGTGTCAAGTTTTTTGTAGATTGAGGAATCGCTTGTCCACCCGCTGCTTTCGTTTGTCCATGCATTATTGTCGTTTGTCCACCCAAGGGAATCGAATAATTAACAAAAAAATTAAAATACTTGACAATAACCGCTCTGCGTAATGTGCCAAAGTTTTCTGCAGACTGGGAGTTGGAATTGTTTGTCCACCCGCTGCTTTTTTGCCCGAGCATTGTTGTCGTCCATCGAAGAAAATCGGATAATAATAATAATAATAAACAGAAACAAAGTTACAAAATAAATAAAGAACCTAAAACATACATGGTCACTCACAGGACGACTTCCGACTTCTTTCGGCATATGAGATCCTGGGCGTCTTCGAAATTCTTTTTTCTATATCCGTATGTTTGAGTTTTATATTGCCGCCATTTCTATACTAGACAACTACAAACGAAAATTCCTTCACTACAAACCTCTACGCTTTGTTTGGCTTCGATTTAGTCGGTTTAGAACGCAGCCCCCCTGATAGGGTTGAAAATACAATCACCTCTATTACAAAAATTACTGCCATTTCTATACTAGACAACTACGAACGAAAATTCCTTCACTTCAAACCTCTACGCATTATTTGACTTCGATTTAGTCGGTTTAGAACGCAGCCCCCCTGATAGGGTTGAAGATATAGGCACTCATATTACATAAATTACTGCCATTTCTATACTGGACAACTACAAACAAAAATTCTTTCACTACATATTTCTACAAACCCATTAGCATCGATTAGAACCGTTTTCAAGTCAGCTACCACGACGGGGCGGAAATAGCTACTCTTAGAACTTAAGGGGCTGTAACTTTTTTCCTGGGCAACTACAAAGGAAAATTCTTTCACTGCATATTTCTACAAACGATTTGGCCTCGATTAGGTCAGGTTTTAAGTCAGCTCCCCATTTTGGGGGCTGACCACTTTTTCAAACTCTCGTAACTTTTTTATTTTTTTACTACAAACGAAAAGTCTTTCACTACATATTTCTACAAACGATTTGGTGCAATTTTATGCAAAAAAAATTTTTTATTAAAAGTCGGGGGCTAACTTCACATAGGTCGCCGGACCTATGTTTCGCCGCATGCCGCCAACAGTTGCTGGGTCGAGTGGGCCGCGCTGTGGCCTGAGTAGCTGCAACGCTTTTCCAATCATCTATGTCGGCGCGCTCTTATTCCTCAGATTTACATCATTAATAACTCGATAATTATTGCGAATCTCGCAAAATGGTATAGGACTTTTATGTTTGTCTTAACCTAATCTACCTTCACACTTCGGGTTGTAAACTTATAACCTCCCACCCTGTATACAGGGTGTTTGATAGCTGATCATGCAGACGAAAGTTGGAGATAGATTGGGTGTAGCCGAGAAGAAAAGTCATGTACCATAACGTTAAATTGACAATAGTTATCGAGTTATTAATTAAAACATGTGAGCCAACGAGCGCGTAGAGAGCGGAGGGCGGCCGCAGTAAGCACGTAGACATTTGATACAGGCGGAGTCAGCAAGTAACGGTAGGCGAACGCGCGCGGCGAGGGTCAACGTAAGCGACAAGAGGCGATCGCGCGCGACGAGGAGCGAGCGAGCTTTTTCTTCATAGCTTTTTCCTTATAGCTCGCTCGCTCCTCGTCGCACTCGCTCGCTCTTCATCGCGCTCGCTCGCCTCTTGTCGCTTGCACTCGCTCGCTCCTCGTCGTTCGCGCTCGCTCGCTCCTCGTCGCGCGCGTTCGCCTCTTGTTGTTTACGTTGCCCCTCGCCGCGCGCGCTCGCCTACCGTTACTTGCTGACTCCGCCTGTATCAAATGTCTACTGTGCTTACTGCGGACGCCCTCCGCTCTCTACGCGCTCGTTGGCTCACATGTTTTAATTAATAACTCGGTAACTATTGCCAATTTGACATTATGGTACATGACTTTTCTTCTCGGCTACACCCAATCCATCTCCAACTTTCGTCTGCATGATCAGCTATCAAACACCCTGTATGCATTCGATTAAGCTCTGTTTGTACCCGTTTGTTCCAACTTTTGTTTTGTTTGTACCTCAGAGGGGTAATGTTTGCTTGCTGTATTATCTTGAGCGTAGCTAAAGCAGGCGGTATTATCATCGCTCTTTAATTACCTTCGGGCCCTCTTGGCCAATACGAAAATTTATCCAGGGTTGACAGTCTTTATATTACCTCGTCGATGACGAAAAGGAGAGAAACTAGTGTAATCGAAAGATTCATATTTCGCGCGTAATCTACGCGTCGTCCAATCACTCAGTGGGAAAAATTTGATGCAGAAGAAATCCCTGCCATGTCGTTTGTCACCGCTGAACTATGTGCACCGATCCCACGGAACGTTCAGTTACGCGCAGTTGCGTGTTGCTCCGCATTACGAGAGTCGAAGGATTATCGTGTCAAGCGCGAGCGCGAGCGTGCGGTCGCAAGACAACTCTGTTCGTCGAAGGCGCCGAGGCAGGCAGGCAAGAAGGGGTTATGAGGCTCCAACGACACCGCGGACGCGCCGTTAGACCGTACTTTTGCATTATTCCGGACAATGTTCGCGGCGGGCACCACCATGGCGGAAAAGTGCAAGGTATGTGTGTGTGTGTGTGCGTGCGAGAGAGAAGTCGGAAGAACATCGCGAATTGTGAGTGGCTCGTGAAAAAAATTGCCAACGTGGCTGACAGCTGAGATGTGTGGACGCACACAGGCTGTATGACTCGACTCGGTGTGATTCATCCTGTTCGGATGAACAATGGGAATGGCCCGGCGTTGTGCCGCGTTGCTCCTCCAGCTGTTCAATTCCGCGCAAGTCGTGTCGATTCCTCTTTCTCCCGATTAATCGTATTATTATGTCATTCATCCTGCGGTATTGACGCGGCTGTCACGCACGAGAACTTCACTGCGTTCGTGTGCATTGAGATGCATTCGATAAAATTGCATGTGCCTTGACTCTTTCGCTTATTTGCTTCCGTTTGAATCACTTCGATGTATCATATTCAGTAATAAAACGCAATGAATGTAATTATCATGGGAGTGTTATACTACTCTTTGATGTCAACATCCATGATGGTTTATACTGGTTAGTTCTTGCTTTAGTATAGTTAAGTAGTTAACATAACGTGACATAAGTAATTTCTTTGTTAGTCAAGATTGTATCTTGATATGTAGGATAAATTTATATATTTTCCTCTTCACATCAAATATTGTATTTCTCATTTATATGTCAAGATATAATGTTATGTTTAATATAAATGTTAATATCTCTTTTTCTCTCCTTCTCTCTCCCTCTTGGCACTATGTTTGTCAATGATTAATGTTCTTGTAGAAGATAATGTTTTAGTATATGTACTTGCATACTTATCAAGTCTTATCTCAATGCAGGAATGTGGGTGTAAGTGCGGCACTTGCGGACAGGATAGTCAACAGCATTGTGACATGCATCTGCATGCAGAAATAGAGAACTTACGGCAGCGCTTAATGGAAAAAGACAACCATATTGTGACGATGGAAACGCAATTTTTAAACGAGGCTGATAAATTTCCAAATGGTGAATTGGCTTCCATGAAAGAGGAGCTGCTGATATGGCAAGAGAAATATTCACGTCTACATGAGGCACACAAGAGGGTGCAAAAGGTTAATCAGAATCTCGAGGACAAATTGCTGCGAATTGTGGACAAATGTGAGACAGAGAAGGGTGCCTTCACGAAGGATATTGCGACTTTGTCTCATAGATTAGCAGATGCGAATTTTACAATTCATCGGTTAACTCAAGATAATGTAAGTATTTTATCGTTACACAGTATATTCTATTCTATGATGAACTTCTATGATAGAATTCTATGATTCTATGATACTATACTATTCTATGGACAAATTGGAGACAATTTTTTCTTGGTGAGAATATTAAGGAAAGTAATAATTTCTTTATAATTATTTAATCTCTTGCATTTTATGTCTTCGCAACCAAGCCTTAATTTTATTAATTTAAACACCACCTGAAATTAACTGAAACTTAAGAATGCAGTTTTAGTATTTACTTGATTTCTTGATATCCAGTAAAAAATCTTTTTTTTTAATCACCTATACTTGAAAAATTATTAGTGTTTTGATATTTTCATGAAAGAAAATTCGACTCTATATTCCAAAGAACTTGAATGAGAAAGATAATACGGTAATAATGGAAGAATCCTACATAACATTAGTATTTTAGGAAATCGTAGGAAGTTTCTTCAGCATTGTCTATAATTAATTATATATATCTATATTCAATTTATATATTTTATTTAAATATATCTTATATTTATCTTTATATATAAGAACATGCATTTTTTTCTTTTTCAGGAAAAATATAGAAACGACGTTAGTTTAGCAATACAATTGCTACAGTGCAAACCTTCTAACTTCGTGGGTCAGAAATACGACTCGGTAAGATATCGTCATGTTTCGAATAAAACTGATAATTTTAATTCATAATTTTAATTCACAGACGCATCAGATAAAGAAAGAAACAATATTACACAATAATATGTCGTTTACATAATGTCACGTACTAGTTCCGGTGTAGATTTTACGCCTCTGTTACCGCGAGGTGAAGCTAAGGCGAAATGCTACAATGACATTTTCCTTGTGTTTATATAACGTCCCATTAATTCGCTTATCGTTACAATGTTACGCGCGCGCACGCGCACGCGCGTGCGCGCGCGTAAATAAACTTTACCCTCTCGCTACTTGACTGTTTAACTACATCTAGGCCAAGAGAGAGAGAGAGAGAGAGAGAGAGGAGAGAGAAAATAGAGAACCAGCTGCGTCTTTTAATCAGCATTTAAAAATACAATAGCTTTATTATATCAACACAGTTGAGGCATCAACGGAGAGTCTCACAGTCGCGTGTTTTGTTTATTATTGCAGCTGCCGTCTGAAGTGCAGGCCAAGGTGCGCACATACGTCGCGCAGAAGCGTTGCCCTGCAGACGTGGTGCAACCAGACGTAAAGAGCATCACTGTGCCGATATCCACGTTCCCGCCAACGGCGATGGTATACAACATCACCAAGCCGACGGTGGAGAAGCACAGCGACGACGACGACACCGGCGACGAGTGCAAACCGCCGGTGGACGTCGTCTCGGCCGCCATAATGGCGAAGGTGTTGGAGGACCGCGAAAAGGAGAGGATCTTCGCAAAGCACTGTGACACGTGTACCTGCCATCGGAGCATTCTCATGCTAGACGCGGAGACACAGACGTGCCTGCCCAACGCGTCCGTTCCTCCCAAAGAGGAGCAAACGCGTCGCAACGTCACCAAGTCCGCGTCGGAGAAGACGTTGAACGGCGAGAAGCAGCATCAGAGTGTGGACAAACTCACGGCTAACTCCGCGCCGATCTCGCACACGGTCTTCTATGAGATCAATGAGAACATCGCGAACGGCGAGAAAACGCGTCACCATGTGAACGGCGACTGCGGCACGATCTATGCCACACAAGTTACTTGTATCAAGGACAAGTTCGTCGGCAGAAATAGCAGGAACGTTCAGGATTGCCCGGTCGAGGAGAATTGCGCCACGAAGGCCGGCTTGAACAAGAAAAACTCGTCGCAGCGTTCGCCGTCATTCTCGCGACTGAACGATCTCAATAGGATAAACATCGACAAGGCCAAGCCACTCAGGGCTAGTAACAAAAAGTGCGAATCTCTGGCTGATAATAACAAGTCTATCGCGAAATACTGGAGCAAGAGCGAAAGGAGTAGCTTTGATCAGTTCGGTGACGGGTCAACGCGCGCCGACAAGGAGCAGACACACATCGACATCATCAACGACAGACTGTGGAAGAACGAGTGGACCAAGTGGAAGTCCGAGATGAATGCAAAGGACAGCAAGTCCAGGGCGAATCGCGGCGTCGAGCTTGATATCATCAACGACCGCGATTGGAAGAACGACCGATCGGAGCGGCAAGAAGCGCGGAATGTCACGCAGTTTACGCTGATCGAGGTGAAGAGCCCGGACAACAGCGCGAGCAACAATGACGGCAGTCAGCCAGAGGTAGCGACCAGTCCGAGCTTCAGCAGTGACAGCATGGTGATCTCCAGCTCTGATCCGTCCAGCAGCTGCAGTGACGTCGCGCAATCGTCGACTGGCGTCGGCGGCACGCACGTCGTCTTCAACAACGTCAAGTCCGTCGGTTCGGGCCAAGGCCGCGTGACCGGACCGAGGAACTGTCTGGTACGTGTCACACCTGGTTCCAAGAACATTCTGCTGGATAATGCGGGCCACTACAAAACTGTGCTATACAGCAGCACTGACGGCAAGGCCAGCACCGCTTTGGTGCACGCGAAGAAGACATCTCGGGCCAGTTCCGAGCGTTCGACCTCAACCAGCAGTGAAGACAACAATTCGCCGGTGCTGTTGCAGGACAATCAGCTGCAGCGGGTGGCCGAGTGGGTGCAGTCGTCGTTGCGCGTGGACAGTTCGACAGTGCACGATAGCAATAAGAGCGGCAAGTGCGGGGAGAAGGCCGTGAACGAGAAGCGCAAGTCCTCGGAGCAAGGTGGAGCGATCCCGGCGGCTCATGACGTTCGTGTCGACGACGTGATGAAAAAGTCGTCGAAAAATGTCGAGGCTTACCGCGAGATGCCTGCGGAGAATGGATCGAGCGATGTTGATCCTTTGTTGGGCATGCAGTGCATGCAAGCGGACCACGGCGAAAATCTCATAACATTTGACGTGTTAGACGAGCAGTCGCCAAAGGACTCGCGCAAGACTAGTCTGAACTACGAGGTGAAGATCACCAAGGAGATGGAAGAGACGTATTTGAAATTAGCGGCGAGCTTGGATCCGGTGACGTTGAGTTTGCCAAGTCCCACCGACGCTGGATTGACGATCGAAAAGTACCGGAAGGATCACAAGAGGCTTCATCATGTACAGAGAGTCCAGGATAAGGCGGGATCAAAAGCTTAATGTATCTCAGCGAAACATTCTTCGATGACAATTGACTATATCAGCAGGGAGTTCCTCTAAAGATAACAGAGCGTTATTTTTTGTAACTATATTAACGTAAGGCTGTACCAAGAGACGAGTAGCTTTTAGACTTGATAGAGGGAAGGAGAGAAGGAGAGAGGGAGAAAGAAAGAGTCTTACACGATGCTGCGGACTATTATTGGTTCTGTTTTGTTTGCGCGAGCGAGCGAGATCCGCGGATCGATCCAAGTTTATGCGAGGTGAAACTACAATATTCGATGCGATCAAGTTCAGTGCAACACGGTAGTCTGATTGTATTGTCAATTATGTAATTAATTATGGGGAATTCCGCGGCAACAGCATGCTCGAAATCGCACGAAAACTGCCATTATTTTCCAGGCATGCTGTCGTAGGTTCTTATCAGCGAAATTCTTTATCTTCGAAAACAAACTTAAAGCAACAAGATTAATTGTTTCGCTCTACTCGGCGCGTACTCGCCTCTAAAAACCCCGTCTATATATTATTAGCATGTTGAGATAATTAGTCATTTTTACGATGCACATGAATATAATTTTCCGATCCCGCTTTGCTCAAGAGTTGTGCACCATATACGTTTGCGAAACGGTTTGGACATATACCGGATTTATTGAATCGAATTAAATTTACCGCTGAATTATTTCTAAATTATTAAATTACTTTAATTAAGTTATCTTTGATAAATATAAGTATTTATAATTGTATAAATACTAAAATACCATAATAAGTATTTATATTATTTTTAATAGATATATTACGTTTCATGATATCTTTTTTGATGAAGTTAGTAGCGTATTCGATACATCACAATTGTGAGCTGCGACTTACATGGCAATCGGTTGTGACTGCAGAATCGAAGTGACAGCACACGGTATAAATATTAATCTTTCGTCGCATTCTTATCTAGTAGATAAGCTTAGATATGAAGCTTAGATATGAAGATATCTATATTTTGTCCCGAGTGCTTGCGATTGTATCGTTGGTGTCTCATATATTGTCACTTCGGCTCCTATTACAATAGATTAGGCCCGTGGCATGCAAAAACGCGAATATGTAATGTAAATTAATCAATCACAATCGATTACCCTTGGGTCGTAAGAAAAATAAACTCTGGTCAATTTGCTTACTGAATAGACTCGGAAGTAGCGGCCCGCATCCATAATCATTTGATGCGTTCTTGACTTCATTGGAAAGAATGTGTTCAAACTAGGGCTTCCAAGTATTCGGATATCTGACAATCCGAATATCTGAGATCGGTTTTGATCCGAAAACTCAAAACCGTATTACTGTGGTAACGCGGATATTTTAAATTATACTGATATTTGAATTCGATATTCGAATTTTATATACGTACACATATATATATATATATATATATATATAAAACAGACGAGTTGATTTAATAATAAAATCATCTGAAATTGTCATTCCAATATAAAAATAAGAATAATCATGTCAGGGTGAGTTATCAAATTGCAATAAAAAAATATTGACTTATTGCCAAATTTTTCGAAGGGATCTCGACCTGGTCAGACCTGACCAAATATCGAAGCCCTAGTTCAAACCGTCCCGCAAACGTGTGTTCATATTTTTGGCGCAAGCGAATTTACTTCATCTGAAATGATCACGCGTGCGAAGTGTTGGATCGATATAACTGCTTATCGATATATGCCGTGTTGCTCATTAGAACTCGCTAATGATTCCGATAAACGCGCGCGCGCAGCGAACGCAATGAGAAACGTGTTACGTTGAATTTAACGATTCTCACATCGGAGGAATGCGAATGATTGGTGCGATATGTACATATATATATGTATATATTTTTCTTTTTTTCTTTTGTAACGTCGAAACGCACGTACGCGCGTTTGAACGACAATATCGTAGCGAACTGTCTCGCAGGAGTGTCTAGGAGAGATCTCGTTTCGACAGTCGTTATTTGCACGAAATCCATCGGCGATGGAGTTCATTTGACGTCTTGTAATATAAATAAGTATCCACGTTTGCGTCATACCAAAGCTAGGTGATCATTTGCGTGACAAGGATCTTTCTTCACTCTTTGCACACCGCGCGCTCGCAATGTGACGTCGATATGCGGCGGTTAATATCGACGTTAACAAGCTCGTCTCGGCTTGCGATGTTTGGACGAACAGCTCTCAATCGAATAAACGCTCGGCTATCACGATGTTTTGATCTCTTACGCGGACATCAGCTCTCTCTCTCTCTCTCTCTCTCTTTCTCTCTCTTTCTCTCGCGAGACCACGGACAAATGCGTGTGCAAAGGGTTAAGCAACGATCGGTTAATTTCTTCAGCCCTTCCGATAAAGCTGTAAGCATAATTTAGTAATTTATCGCTAATTATTTGTCGCGGTATCACAACGGAGGTGTCCGCGGTAAATCCGACTCTCTATCGAGATTGCAATAAGTTATTGATTGACGAAGGAAGTCGCCGTACGAAGGATAACCGGTCTCCATTCCGCGAGATGACATCCTCCGGGCTTAAAGGATTAACGCTAGAACTACCGAAGTGGTCGAAGCGACAGGTTTTTTCACTCAAAGAAGCATACGATGCGAGGGCAGAAATAACTATCCGTTTCTTTTGTTCCCGTCGAAAATATAAAATGCGGCATAAATTTGTGAGTGATTTTTACAGGAGATCACAAACCGGTTGTAGTTCTAGTGTTAAACACACACGCGTACACACACACACACATACACACACATACACACACACACACACACATATGTGCAAACACAGGCGACGCGCGTCAATTTAAGCCGATCCCGTGCGTTGTATGACGAGAGATCGCTTCTACTTGTGCAATCTCGGCAATCGTAGCCTTGCCACTGGCGTCACGTGCCCGAGACAAGAATGTTTTGTGATAGTGAGCGTAAAAGAGAAGAAGAGAAGAAGGAGGAGAGGAGGAAGAAGTAAAGGAAAGATTCGTCCGCGAATTTCAATCACGACGTCAGTCCGAAAGTTCGCGCGCGTCACTCGCGGACACGCAATCGCATAATCTCATGTATCGCGTCACTGACACTATTAACCGCCTTGGCTTCAGTGATATCGACAGTCCGACTCGACTAACTCTGGTTAACGTCTCGCTCTTCCTGCACGGATCATGATCTCGCCCATAATACAGATATAAAATCAAATGGGAAAAGGCGGGAGAAAATGTCGGAAAGAAGAAGGAGAAAAGCGGAGAGAGGAAGCTTTGGAAATTTCACCGCGTCGAGTGAACTTCCACCGTTTCTCCCTCGATTCGCGTATTTTTCTCGTTTTTGCTCCCACCCGAAAGCGGGACGAAAACTGTGGTGCTACTGCATCAGAGAATCAGCGAGAAAGCCTCGCGAGCGAGATCTCGTGAGTCAGTTTTCGACCTCACAGCGGATCGGAAGTCGTTCTGAGCCGAATCGATCAACGTTTTCGAATCACCCGATCTTTCGTCGCTGGATAAATAAATAACCAGAGTTAGCGGCTCACTGAGCACCGTTGGTGCGATCGACGTCGCTGACAGAGACGATGATCGCGGGGCTCTCTCGGGGACAGTTGAACGAGCCGACGACGAGGGGCGACGCCTCTCGACACGCGTTTAGGTACGCGAATACTGACAATATATACCTCATGGCTCCTCGAATATCGCGTCAACTCGCGCACCGGTCTTTTGTAAACGCATAGATTGGACGGCTTTTCTTCGTATCGCCCATTGAGATGTAACGAGGTCTGAAATGCGAATGCGTGCTGGTCTGCCGCCGAATAGCGAAGCATCCGGCAAACGTGAGGACATATTAATGACGTCGAATGACATATAACAGTAACATAATGATAATTTTATTGGCCACAAGACAGGAAGGAAGAGAAAAGTAAACTGCACCACCGAGCGCAGGTACGACGGCAAGTAAGCAATAGGCCAAGCAATAGCAGTGTAACGCTGCTATGTGTGACTGTCTTTGATTCCGAGTTATGAAGTAGATGTAAAGTGACGTATTTAAGGTCAGAAACGTCATTTATACGTGTCCCCACGCGTGCTGAGTCGATAGCGCGTTGCGCGAGAAGAATGCGCTTCTTCCATTTGTTGTGTGTATGTCGTATGTTGGTGCGAAAGGGTAGCCCCGTTTCTCCGTCAAATTCTAACTGTCGTGAAGCAATACTGATTCGCATATTAAAAAGGAGAGAGAAAGAGAACAAGACCTCGCTCGGTATCCGACTGAATATTCACGAATAGCGCGTATCGTACAGAGAACGTTTCCGAAACGTTTCCCGAAGCGGTTGTGAAACGTTCGCGTACGTTTTCCAAACGTACGCGAACGAATATGCTACCGAGAATACCGAGTCGCTGTGCGTATATGTGCGTATGTATGCGTGTGTGTGTGTGTGTGCGCGTTGATTTTATTCGTAGGGATTTTCGATATTTCGGAACCGGATGATTTCGTCGTCGATTTCATTTCAAGACAGGAAAACTTCTGTGCGCCAGCCTAACGTTGTTCCCGCGCGATCTTCGTATTCTCTTCGCGCCGATCGATCCAGCTGGGTTTGATCGGAGACCGTGCGAGCGACTGATCAGGTCGACCAGGTGTTTGGGACTCGCGTTGATCCTTCGTTTTGGCGCTCGTTTCTTCGGCCGCATGTACGTTGTTCTCTTCAGACGCGCGTCGCCAACTTTTCCCCGACGCTTCTCTTAGAGTAATTCGAGCACGTAGACGCGCTCTTTCCAAAGAGTCCTCCTCGCGCGAAGAGCAGGGGACAGAGTGTGTTAGAATGTTTTGTTTTGGATGTCTTGGGTGCGTTTGAAAATAGCTGTGGTTATCCAGATTAATGGCGATATCCAGATGGCCCAGATAACCCAGATAACTCATCTATCTTATCTTTCGTATTATTTGGGATCACTGTAGCTATTTTACTGGCTTTGCCAGTAACTGGCTTTACCAGTGGAAGAAACAGAACGCAGCACCGATAATTTTCACTGCTGTCAACTTTATTTCCTTTACTGGCAGCGGCCAGTAAACTGCTATCTTCAAACGCACCCTTGGCCTGTCGTGTTGGGTAAATGGTACTGTTGGCTTGCTCGACGAATTCGTAGGGATTTTTACTTGGAACAAGTTCCAAGCCGATACCTTCGCGCTTAAGTGTAACTTAAATGTTTTCGTTTTCCTTTCTTGATGGCGGTCGTCCGCTCTGTTCTACTCTGCTGGCCTACTCCGCTGCTCTTGACCGACAGTCGCTTGTAATTTGTGATCTCAGCTGAGGATGATGAAAATACATCGTTCCGACGTTAAAGTGATTGTTATCTGCGATTGTATTCGTTTGCGCAACAAACGGTTTTCACGGCATTTTTTCCCGACGAATTTGGCTCGTCCTTTTTCCCACGCTTTCGCTTACACTCTCAAAGAACCTTTATAATTATCTGCCCTTGAGTCGATGAGAGTAAAGTAATGCCTGACTGGTATAAAAGCATCGGCTTGTAATTTTCCGCAAAAATCCCTACGAACTGATGACGATCAAGCTGATACATTCGCTATCGTCAGATATCGACACGGGTTCCTCGGTTCGGTAATCGGCAGATCGCGAGATTACACTCTTTAATTTCTTTTCTCTCCTCCGACCTCTTTCCTCGACTCGTTTTGCTTTAATTCGTTGCGTTGCACCGCTGTCGTAACTTCCGCCACAACGTACGTTATAATCTAGTTGGACTCCAACTGCCGGTCCCGCGTGGACACCACCGACGCCCAAGCGGCCACTTGTTAATTAACGCGCGCTGATCGCTTTGCGCGTCTCCCCGACTTGTGCGTACCGCACGAAGACGGATCACGATCGTGTCTGAGCAATTCGCACGTGAGCAATTTTTGAATTGCGGTGAAAGATCAAACAAAAAAGGAAAAAAGGGAAAAGGAAAAAGAAACGAGGAGGAAGAAGAAGAGCAAAACACGAAGTCGCGCGTAGCTCCAGCTGAGACCGCGAGTTCCGGTCGACGAGCGAGCTGGGTTCTCGCAAGTAAAAGTAATCCATGTATGACAGTCGTACCATTTACTCGCAGTCGAATGTACCATGTTTAACGTGGCGATGATTATGATTATCCCACACATGTATGTGTGTGTGTGTATATACACATGTATATACACATACACACATACATGTATATATAAGTGCTGTACATATATATAAATAAAATATATTTAAAACGACCCCATGTCTCTCGTGCTTCGTCTGCTGTAATGATCGTCCGAAGCGTTAGTGTTCATTCCATTTTTCTCTCCTTTTTTTTGACGTCTGCCTTGTTCATTGATATACCCAAAAAAAATGTAATTTCAGAACAAGCGGAATCATCTAAATTTTAGAGAATCTTACTCTGGTATATGGCCTCAAGAGGATTCTTCTAAGATTAAGAGGAAAATATTATAAACACATTATTCTTAAAGTTAGAGGGATTATATGTTATATGTATAATGTAAATCTTATTGATTTTAATATCAATTTCCTCTTGTACACAAATTATTTAGTCTTTTTTTAAGGGAATTATTATTCTTACTGTATTTTATTCTCTTATTAGTTATACTAGTTAATTTGAAAAAAAAACTATAATGTATAGCGAAAAGTAATATATATATATATATATAGATGTACTTCTGCATGTACTTCCAGATGTACTTCCAGTTCTGCAATATGTAGGCACGGATGAAATAAGATCATCATAACAAATTAATTTTCAATCAGTTTTGTTACGGACTTCATAGCTACAAAGATGTTTATTATATCCAATTGTATGAAACATGGTTAAAAGAAAAAATATATTATTCAACTTCTTGCAATAGATTATAAAAGTATTTGACCACACATGGGTAAATTATCTTTGTTATATGTTACAGCAACACATATACCTTTTTTAAAAAGCATTCCAAATATTCTGACTCATAAGCACGTGATTATTTTTTTGTGCATATCTGGAAGTAGAGCATGACTGAACAAAAGAAGCCGACATCTAAATCAACATATTCCTCTTCATATAAGAGGAAAATTAATTTATATAAGAGGAAATTCTCTTGAAATAAGAGTAGAACAGAATAATATCTAATAAATTTTAGATGATTGGTTCACTTTAATAGCTTTATCGAAAGAGGAATCCTTTTCTGTAAAAGGCTACGCTTAGAATATGAGACTATGGGAAAAATCATTTTACAAATAGAATACTTTTTTTTTAATACATCTTAAGACGGTTTGATCTCCGGTTCGCACGTTGGTCCGTTGTCTGTGCCTGTATTTTCCCTAACCTGATCGATCATACTTGCGAATATGAATTACACATCAATTTCTGGGCATTTTTGTTTGCGCGCTTTCACATCATCGACTGAGAGTTCATGTCATCGAAAGTCCCTCAAACGATGTGACCTCTAGCCACGTTTTGAGAAGTGTTATCCATGTCCGTTTCTTTGTATTTCGATTTGTATTTCTTTGTATGTCGATTCTTGTTATCTCGATTAATCACCCGGAGATCTTCTAATTCCAGCCTGAATTTTCCAGTTTTTTCGCTTAGACTCTTTTATACTTCTGAAGGCACCGGAAAGTTGTGTTATCGGGAATCAATATTTCCCGAGGTTTTCAAGTTGGGTGTTCTTCGAATGTTCGCTCGCTCCTTTCCACCGTTCAAATATTTGGTCTTGCTGTTATTCGCCCGCAGAAACGAAGCATTCGCGTCGACGGTGATGATGACATAGGCAAGGCACCGGGATTCGTGCATCAGGCCGTGCCCAGTTTCGTCCAATCAAGCTAATGTTCCAATAATTCGGCCGCTTAATGAATGAACGAACAGCCTCGCCTGAGAAGTTCGATTATAGATGCGGCTCTCGTATTCCGCGCTGCGTATTCCTCCTCCAACCTTCCCCTCTCGCAAGGTCTGCGCAGCCTCGTCGAGGAAAGGAATGAGGAAGAGGGTGGAGAACACGTGGGTGTCGTTGCGTGCGGAACTCGCGGCTTCTCTCTCGGGAAGCGCTCGCAGCGGGGTGTCGATCGCGCTCGACTTGTCGAGCAAGTGTGGTCGGGATCGCACGGGCGATTCCGCGAGGAAGTGAACACCTTGTGACCGGCGCTGTTTACGTGCGGAACGCAGCCTCTAAATTTCCTGGAGTGAGATTTCACGCAAATTCGACTGACGACTCTTCGCTCGCACGGGATGAACTCTCCGCTCTGAATCGTTGAGTGAATACTTTCGCTCGAAACTGACAGGTGAATCCGCTTGAATCGATCGGAACGTTCGCTCGTATCGCTCGAAGTCGGAGTCGTCTTTAAACTCATGCAAAACATCCGTCCTTCGTGAGGGTGGTGATGCCTTCACTGTGTCTCTATGAGATTCCACTCGAAGAAATTTAGAGAGATATTTTTTGCCGCCTCCACCGACGTCTGGCAGGCATAAGAGATCAAATTTTTTTTCAGCACATCAGCTAATGAAGGTGAAAATAGTGGTAACAATGCTGCACCTATATGTAAGCTTCCCTCTTCGCGGTTCGCGTAGAACTCGCAATAGTAACGGAATCGGCGCGATTAGTGTCATCTGATGTGACGCGTCTGCGTCTCTGATTATTTCAAGGCTCGGGTCTAGTTTGTGCGAACTTCCAGCTGCGCAGTAGACCACAGTTTCTAGAGCTTGTAACTATTACCTTTCTTCCTCCTCCCCTGTGAACTATTATTAATCTTCGCAAGCGCCACGAACATTTTGTACTCTGCCTTACATCATCTGTGAGACCGTGACATCTGTGTTCCGCTTATTTGTACCCTGGTCTTTCTTTCAACTTACAATGAGACACGCAGTTCAACCGCAGTCCCCGACTCGCGTTTACCTTGCGGAAAGAACGGAGGATTCGGCATTTGCGAAATAGGCGATTTAGATCTCCATTATAGATGAATTCTGAATAAAAGATATTTGAGGAAATCGAGAACTTTCCTGAGACACACGTTCGCGCGTCTCAGATATTTATTTCAAGAAATTTGCCTGCTGAAACTACAATGAGCCTTCCCCCGCCTCCTCTCTCTCTCTCTCTCTCTCTCTCTCTCTCTCTCTCTCTCTATTCTCTGGGCCACTAAATTGACTCTCATCTATATTATATCAATCGCATTGTTCTCACTTTGAAGCTCCCTTCAGTTACTTGATAATTTCTTGTTATAATTACAATCACCACTACCTACACTTATACTCACACACGTTTTCACTCGTGCTCGCATTTTGAAGCTCCTCCCGACCCTTTGATCACTCCTCACCGTTATTATAATCGCACGCTTTTTACGCTCCTGCTAGGAAAACGTCTCAGAGTGTACGACTAATAATAATAATACCTTTTTCCTCTCTTTCTCTTTGCGTCCGATCATGAAGAACCGAGAGACGAGTCGAGGTGTCTCCGGGAGACTTTCCCGAGCGGCTGCCGCGGGGGAGAGACGCTCGAAGAGCGAGAACTCAGCTAGTGTTGGTCAACGACGCCCGCGCCTCCCCCGTCGGAGTGACCAGCCCGGCGCGTATTCCGCGGCCGCGGGCGCTATAAGTCGCGGCGGGCGACCCCGCGCCAGTGAGGACGCGTTCGTGTTGGCGCGAGGACGCGCGGGTACCGTCGGAGCCGGAGCCGGAGCCGGAGCCGGAGTCGGAGCGGAGGGCGAGACCGACGACGACGTGGTGTTGCGACTGCGGCCAGAGGAACGTGATCCGCACGCGCCCGCGCGCTACCGAATCCACGAGCCTTTCCGCGGTGTGCTGCGCGAGCCGCTCGCGGGCTCCGTCGTAAATGCTGCCAAGCACCGCGACATCGCGCCTCCGAGCCACTGCACCGTCGCGAGACAGGTAAGACGACCGGCCACGGCCGTCCCTCCGCGTCGTCCTCGGCGTCCTCGGCGTCCTCGTCCTCGTCCTCGTCATTTCGACTGATTTCTCTCTCTCTCTCTCTCTCTCTCTCTCTCTCTCTCTCTCCCTCCCTCTCTCTCTCTTTCTTCCTCTCTCTGTGTTTTCCCACGTCGTCATCTTTCTTCTTCTTCTGCTTCTTCTTCTTCTTTTTCTCTCTTACTGCATTTTGCTTTCCTTCCGCTCCTCCTCTTTCTTCTCAGCCTGTTTTCACGTTCTCTCGTCTCGTCTCGCCTCTGACGCCTCGGGGGCAGTCCCGGCAAGACTCGCCTCCCCGACGTGATTCTACCTCGCTGCGAACACTTACCCTCTGACCTTTACGACGTCAAGGAGAAATAATCTTTCGGAATAACTTTCGAGAAACGAAGTAGCTCGCGCGCGGCTGGATTTGACAGCGAGCGGTTAAACGTCGTTTCCGAGCCCGCCGCGCGAGCCTCAGCCGGGTTGTGCACACTCACCGGGGGTGACTGTTGCGTTGGATCTGGAGATTGATCTTCAATCTCTCGTGACTCGTGCCCGATGACGACTTTCGTCGAGGCGCAGCGCGTCCGCCAGGTGGAGGAGGAGGAGGAGGAGGAGGACGATTTCTCCCGATTTCCATCGGGATTTCTCGCTGACGACCGCGACGATTTGCGTCCGGTCGCACATCGGTCACCGTCGACCACTCGCCAGGGGAAACAGATCACGTCTCGAGGGGCGACGAGAAAGAGAGAAAGAGAGAAAGAAAGAGAGAGAGAGAGAGAGAGAGAGAGAGAGGGAATGCGATGTACGTCGCCTAATGGTGGTGTGTATGTTAATTAATGGCGATTGTAAGACACGGAAACACTCGCGTGCCAACTGATTAAAAAGCTGGATGATGGAGGACGGGGGAGGGCGCACTTCCCCTCTTAGATTATGCTGTCGCAACTGTCGCGCGAGTCCGAGGGATTTATTTCCGTAACGACACATCGCGTTTTTCCGCGTTCCGCTTCGACGACACGAACGCCGTCCCGAGACGGTGACGATTGTCGCGGGGGGGGGGGGGGCGAGATCGCAGTGATCGCATGGAAGAACAATTTGTAACGCGCGTTTCACGTGCACAATAGGCCTGTTCTCTCTCGCGCTCAAGTACAGAACTTTCGGAACTTCGGGAGAAACGGATATACAGCTGAGGCTCGCCGGAGAGAACGAGGAAGAGGCGCGAGGTGCAACGCTGGGAGTGTGGCGAAAAAAGAAACGGACTAAGAGAGTGTATGCAATTTTTATCTTAATAATGTACGTGCGTGTCTTTTTTATGATAATTGTGCGAAAAGCTCTGGGATTGGTGTTTGACTTTCAAACTTTGCAATTTCATATTCTGACGTTGTATCCGAGTCAATTCTTCAACGTGGACTGGCACAGGGAGTATGATTGATGAGTTTCTTGGGATTTGTTCCCCTTCTTCGGATCTTCTTCGTATACAGGAAGAAGAAGAAGGAGCGTCGTTTTTGTTTTTAAGTAATTTATAAAGAAGCAAAAGTGTCATTTTTACGTGACGTATAGCACAGATTCGGAGTGCGTGTAATATTTCACGCGTGTAAGCGCTGACGCTCGTTGGAGCCTGGTGGATCCTAATTGTGTCGGTGAATTAATCGGCCTTGGGCGATTGAGATCGGCATACTTTCGTCGGGACGCGGAATTCACTAAATCAGATTAAAAAAATCGCGTGAATCGCTCCGTTCATTCAGCCGCGAGGAAAGTTTTACATGTCTGAGCGGCTCTCCGTCGCGCGCGCGCGCGCGCGCGCCGCGCGGTCTACGTACTTAAATTTGAATCAGATCGATAGGAGGGGCGACGTCTCGAGCGAACGAAAAATCTTCTTAGGAAAATATCGATCGGGCATCCAACGCGAGGCTGTTTTATGCCCATAACGAGGACGATTGACCCGTCGCGTCGCACTCGTCAATGGAATCTCTGCGAAATTCATGCGCACGCTTTATCCGTTTCGCGATAAGATCCGCACAGCACGGAGCGAGGAGTTTCCAACAGGTCTGACGAGTTTAACACACTTAATGACACATTTGTTACGCACAACGGCGACGGAAGAGACCGGCTGAATTAACAAAACAACTCGAATTAAAGAAACAACTCGGTTAGCGTAACTGAATTTTCCGTCGCTCGGGGAAAACTCGAGGCTGCCCATGGGGGAGGGAGTGTTGAACTTTCGAGCTTTCAATCTCGAGCGGAGTGTGCTTTGAAATAACAGCAGGTCGATAACGCAAGAGCGATGCCCACATCGACGCGATGACGGGTTTCATTTTCGAAAAAAAAAAAATTCGCGGCTCGAGGGAGCGGCGTAAATTACCCCGCGGGGTGCGTTTGAAAATTGCACCGTAAGCCAGCCGTTTATCGACGGGCATGCGGCCTCGCGAATCCTCCATGACAATCATCGCGCGGGCATAATCGAGTGATAGTGACTTGCACGCGAGAGGCTCGTCGCGTTTGTCCGCGCGCGCACGCCTGCGGGAATTCACGTCTCGTGATTCTTTGATCGAACGACCGCGAAAACGCGTCTCGTCTTTTGGGACTTTCCCTCGCCGGTCCTCGCGATTTTGCGACCTCGTCGCAAACACGCGTTTTCGAAATGTAATTAGTGCACGATTAACAACGCGTCGGTCGTCGCGTTGATTTTCGCCGATCGCGCACAAACGCTCGACCACTGCGATTGCATTACCGGAAAGAATCACGGCGAATAAACGTTCACGAACTCGAAACGTGTGTGTACACCTTTCACCTCGGCCTCCGTCGGCTCTTTCCATGGCGGCCATTTTTTTTTAAATCCAATTGGTTTTGTTTCATATTTTTTATTTCCATCTTCTCTATTCTCTCCCTCTTCTGTCTCCGTGTGGCTCTCGTTCCGATTATTCAGTGATAAACAAACAAATGGATGATAAATAGATCTAATTAAAACGTAACTCAATGAGACGCGGTGGTGGAGCCAATTAGTCGCACCGGCGCGATCGCGACAAGCGTTCAAGCAAATTGACGCGAAGAGAAATTTCGATATCCCGGGCCGCCGGGGTGTTTCATCATCGCGCGCGCCTACGGACTTACGTCAATAAATGGCCATCACGTCGGTAATCGCGCGGACGAGCGTGGATCCGCGAAAGCAGGAGTTTCCGAAAGGCCTGGTTATTTAATACACAGCCGCGCGCACACGCGGCAACACGCCCATGCGTGTACACGTGCGTGCACGAATATTAAGGTTCCGCGCGAGAAACCGCTGTTATGGAAGGCGCGGTTAACCGGTACCGGCCCGGATTTGTAGAGCGAGGAAGTTCCGGGTGGCGTAACGTACGCGTAATACCCGATCATTTCGCGGGAAATGGCCGGTGCGGTCCTGCATTAATTGTTACGTGGTATGGCAGACGTATCGTTTCCCGGTGCAAACGGTGCGTTAACCGTCGCGCGCGGCGCATCGGCAAGAAATCCCAGTTCGCCGGCCGGCGATGCGCGCTTTCGAGCGGCGGCGCGCAACGTCGCCGTTACGACATTGGCCGCTCGTTAGAGCTGAAAACACCCGTTACATATATATTGACACTTCTTTCCTCCTCCGAGAAGACGCCTGGCATTAAGAGCTTCCGCGCGTCCGACGTTTCCGAGTGTGTTTCGTTTGTGCGAGAGTGTGATTTATTATATTCGAGGGGAGGAGCACCGGAGGCCCTCTTCTCTGACGGTAAGAACAAATTTCTCCTCGGCTGCTGACAAGTCGGCGATCGTTGGATTTTGGGCGGTGACGATTGAAATCGCTGCGGGAGGGTGAAACCTTTCACGCGCGCCGGGGGAGACAAGTGTCTCGTAATCGTGCAATCTGTAAGCACTTGGCGGAGGAATTTTAATCAAGAGAGTCAGTCTGATTTTTGTGGCGGGCGGTGTTAACGATAATAATAACACTTTACTCGCGCGTCTTGCCAGAGCAACCAGAAGACGGTGGCGGCGCCGAAAATGAGCGAATTCGAGCGTATTATTTTGGTTTGAGCCATAAGCGTGTAATTGGCTGAGTTTTCTTTTTCGCGCTTCGCGCGTCGTCTCAAGTCACGACGCGATTCAATAATGCGTTCGAGCGTTCGGTTCCACTTTCAGACTATCTATCCAGCGAAAATGAGAGATAGAAATTAATTATGTTCACTCGAGAATATCATTCATCGAGCTTGACACTTGACTCTTTCATTTAAGAGTATCGAAATAATAATAATTTTTATTTGATATAAATCTTTATTATTATTATTATTATTATTATTATTATTACGAATATTATTATTATTATAAGTTATTTGTTACTTCCATCACTACGAAAATTTCCTCATGAATTTCACATTGTGAAATTTCCCTCGAATTATTCGAGTGGAAGAATTTACAATCAATTGGAAGCTCGACTGCGCTCCCACGCATAATTATAATCCGTGTCTGAGGAATGTATTCGGTTTTCCTGGTTGATCTTATTAGCCCAGAGGGACGGCGAATGACGAATTTACGAAGGTATTAAACGACGTGATTGAAAATCACGAGACAAGAAACGTGTGAAGAGAGCCTCAGCCAAGCGCACGCTTGTGCGTGCAAAAATAGCACACTCGGACTCGCAGCGTAACGCATGATGATTCTGGTCAACCGAGCAGATTTCTCGATCGATTAGCGCGAATTCTTCACGATCGACTGGCTGAGAACTCCAGGTCGGTCCTCCTCGCTCGGACGTCTCGGCCGTCGCGATTTCCATTTTCACCGCGTGCACAGCGCGTCGGCGAAATTTCTTGCTCCCGCAAGAACCGGACGTCGCAGCCACCGGAACCTCCGGGGGTTCGCTAAACGCGACTGCGAAGCAGCGGGTCGTTGATCCCGGGCTATACGCGAGCGTAGCCAATCTGCGTTTTCCGTTCTCCTGGACGGTGCGCGCGCGAGCTGATTTATCGCCGAACTTTGTTATTATT